GCAAGCGATTTCCAGCAAATCCCAGATTTCACACTGTAGCCAGATGTGTGTCTCTCACCCCAGACCCTGGACACGTTATTGATAAAGTTAGAGCTGTCGTTTATCCAAAGCGCATGCAAGGATGTAAAAATTTCTGTTGAAACCAACTGAAAAAGACTTGGGACTCTGAGCATTCACAAAATCAAAATCTAATAAAGTATGGTCAGGTGCAGGGAACGGAGCAGTCTATCCCCTCACTGTGCAGTGTTCCTAGTTGGTTAAGTGGATTTATAACCCAGTGCGTTTCTTTTTCATTCCAGAATGGAGGGGGTCCTGCCTTTTCAATGCATGATTTTGCTAACCTCTAATTAAATGAGTTAGCACACAGGGAGCGCTTACAACAGTTCCTGGCTCATAGGAAATGTGACATACTATTAGCACCCTCAGTTCACGGATCTCTGCAGACAGTCCCTCTGAGCCTCTGGTCTGGGCCAGGCAGGTGCAGCCTGACTCTTGTGGTCAAGATTCCCCTGTAGATCAAGCTAATCAACACCTCCTTCAGGATGTTGCCTTCTCGCTTCCGCATCTCATTTTGCCTGATATCCTAGATCTCGTCTATCCACACAAACCCATCATGGAAAGATGTTCCATGTGTTCGTCATTCGTGTGTATCAACCATGGTGCTCTCATGCCAATAAATCTTAAACCTCCTCACCATTCATGAGGAGTCACCTTCAGACACTTTGTTTTATACTAAATACTCTGGGTTTTGTCTTTTTCTTTTCTAAAATTGACATGACTGATTTCATCACCAGTTTTTCCCTCATCAAACTTGACTCCAAATACTATGAGATCAGACCCTCCTTAAAAGGACAATGGTTTGCCACCATTGAGCCTATTTAAGGCAAACTCTAAAGGCAACTGCGGAGGACTAGTTTGAGGTCAGTTCCAATGACAGCATCACTGGAATACATCTATGGCTTCCAAAGACAACCTCTTTGAAAGAGCTACCATTCAATGATATACATAAGAGGCAGCATGTTTGGGAGGCCATGCCAGTGAAGAACCATGTTTTCTTCTCATTTTTATCCTCCACACACCCAAACATAGTGTTCCGTGAAGGGCAGTCTTTCAATGAACATTTGTTGAAAGAAATAAACAACCACTCTTGATAAGATGTATTTTCTATATAACATACACGTACGTCATCAATCTGCACTGATGCAAATGAAAATGTCTCCTTTAAACACACCCATATTATCTCTCCAGACGCTTGTGCCCAGGACCCGGTAATCTATCAGCCAACAAGTATTTATTAAGTGAGTGGGTTTCCCTTCACCCTTGCAAATCCTGAGAATGGTGTTCCATCCTGGGCATGAGTCAGACAACACAGTGGTTAAAAGCGTGGCCACCCACACAGTGCCCGTGTCCTGGGGCTTGTTCTTACGCCGCCCGAACTCAGGCTTTGTCTGTAACATGAGGATTTCTGATAATAGTTTTTAATAATAATGGCAGCTCCCTCAAAAGGTCATTGTAGGAATTAAATTAATTGATGCCTGTAAATAATAATACATACTTAGTAGGCAGTGCCACTGGCTCTCTAGTAATCGGTTACTTAATATATTATTCAACAAGAAAGGCTGGAAATCACACAATTCTTAGCTGATATCTAAAGAGCACAAGGAAAAGTCTTGAGGTTAGGACTAGCTATGAGACTGAGATTTCTAAATCTCTGACGTTCAAAGTAATAATGTTGTACCTCAAAATAACAGTCGTATTGTCATGAGCCAGTATGTAATGAGTATATACAGTATATGGACTTCTTCCACATCTCGTACGTTTTACCACTTACATTCCATCCAAAGAAAATACCAACCCTCCCACCATACTGGCCGATGGGGGTACTCATTACACATAAGGTACAGGAAACCTAACATGCGTCTGGTTAAAGAATTTAATATCTCATCAACCTGGAATATTTGGACCACCTGAAGTTAATTATATATTGGTTCCTATTTAATGGATTGAAGTCTCAATTTAAATGCAAAGCCCACTGCTAACTGAACAGCAAGCAAAGATTTACTGCCCTTCCTACAGTATCACAGGCTTAAATAAAATGCCTAACGTTGTAAGGAAAAGCATAGAACATTTTGATTTCTTCAATTACTTCATATCCCCTGATCCCCAATAAATCTAAAATAGCAAACTCCCATAGCCTGTCTCCCTGCCCCGAGCTTCTGTCCCCAGAGGACAGACGGGTGTAGGTGATGAATTGTTCTGTGACGTTTGCTCTCGTGGAGGTTGAGGGACGCAGAGGACTAGGGCTGCATTCCTAAATGCTCCTAGAGCTCTAGACTCTAGAAATGAATGCGTTCATTCATTCATTCCATAAATATTTACTGACTGTCTCGTGTCCTGGAAATGCAGCAGTTAACAAAACAGCAAAATCCTAGCCATCTTCAAGGGGATGCGTTAGAAGGGACTCAGTGAATAAATGCATCAAAGTGGGGCCTCGGCTCAGCCTCGGGTGAGACCCTGGAAGGCCGAGGGGCCAAGGAGAGCATCCCAGGAGCCGAGAGAGCTGCCTGGGTGGAGAGACTCCCAGCCCAGGGACAGGGGCTTCGCTGAGACTCCCTGAGCATTGTGGGATGCACTACACCAACATCTGACTCTTGCTGAGAAATCCGAGGAGAAAGAAGAGAGGGAGGAATTGCACACTGACTGATGGCAGATTCAAGGTGCCTCTCCTCCGGGCCCCAAGTGTGCATGCCTGCGACTGTGTGTGCATGTGTGTGCGTGTGCACGAGTGTGCATGTGTGTGTGCGTGTGTGGCAGAGGCCCTACACCGCCAGGCAGAGCGGATGCCGTTGGGTTCTCCCAGGTGACACTGGACTTTCCTACCTGTTCGTGAGAAATGAGTATCAACAGGAACTTGAAAGGCCGAGCGTGTGTGACTCCCAAGGCCCCCTGCAAAGCCACACAGCCATCACCCTTCCAAGCCCATCACCGTCTGCACAGACACCACACAGGCATCATCCTGGACCACATGGCCCAAGCCCTGGACCCCACCACAAACACCCGGCCTGGGTGCCTCGAATCACAGATGTGGAAACGCCGGATGGGGAGTCCTACATGTTCACAAAAGTCATATGGGGGCCTCCCTCCCTCGAGTCCCTGTGCGTTTTCAGACACAGCAAATAAATGAGGTTATGAGGTCTCAGCCACACCCCTCAGGAAGGACGGAAGGACAGGACACACAATCCCAGCCCTACCCCCAGGTACCAACTGGAAAGATGCCTGCGGGCTCCCTTCGAGCTGTTCGTCTCTCAGCGCCTGGGAGGGAGACATGGCAGACACCTGTGCACAGTGATGCTGTCTGTGCTCTGACCTTGTGACACTTTGGTGATTCAGGATATTTCTCCCCACACACAGGAGAGGGGAGAGGCTCTTTGCCTCTGATTTCATGTTTCACCTATGAGTTTCCTGACCGTGTGACTCCCTGTGCTCCAGGCACAGACAATGGGCCACTGACACACACGAGGACTAAGCCACACATCCCAGGCCACCATCACCCCTACAGAGACCACTGGGCAGAGCAGGGCTGGGTAGTTTGGGAAGAAGGCAAAGCCAGGCGTCATCACATTAAGTATGAAGGGGAATCCCACTGACCTGGTTTCCAGGTAAAACAAGGGGACATCCTGATAGAAAAGCAATAGATCATTTAATGGAGTACAAACAGGTACTCATTTTTAAAGCACTATAATGCTAAATATATACGAAACCTTCTTTCTTTAAAACATGAGCTCCCAGCCATGAAATAGGAGTCACCTGTATGTTATCAACTTGGTTCTGAGGCCAGAAGCTACTCTGTTTAAACATCCTTGCTCACGTTGGACTCTAGGAATCAGGCTGGAGTGGGCGGGGTCCCATGAACAGCGTATTTTTGGCTTGATGAGGATTTGTATAGACTCACATTTCTCTAGCCCTTCTTAATTTTGTGTATTAAGGATTTAAGTGACTTAGAAGAGCTATCATTTAGATTCTTCCTAAGGCAGGAAAACCAACATAGCATCTGCGGTCCTAACCATTAGGATGAATGATCAAAAGACCCACAATCAATGTAATAATAGTCAGGGGGAGAACGGGAGAGATAAAGTCATGATTTTATGCTCTGCTTATACCAAGTCTTTACTGCTTTTCCTGAAGAGTCAGCACCGTGAGCTGGCAACCCGGAGCCATGGCCATCCCCAGGTCAAACCCAACTTTCCATCCCTTCCTGTAAACATACGGCCATCACACTCACTAAGGCACTGGGCACAGTCCTTATTTCTTGTAATGGCATTGTTCTGAAAAACAATTAAGTTAACTCAGTGCGGTTTAACATCTATCGTTGTGGAAGAACTTCAAATGTGTAAATGTACCAACCAGACCAGGCTTCCTCATCAGAGCCTCAGGAAACAGAGGCACTATTTCCTTCTATGCCTTCAGGTGCTTGGAGAGCAACGGGGGAGGGGTCTAAAGGTCTGCAGGAACACCCTCAACGAGAACTCGAATCTCTGCCTTTCTGTACTTGATGGAGGCACACGTGACAGCTCTCAGCTGACACGTGAAGGAGCCACGACCGCACCTGGCTTCCTCCCCAGGTCTCCTGCTCCGGGGCTCAGAGACCCCTTCTCTGCCTGCCACCTCCTTCTCCCCAGCAGACAGGATACACAAATCTGTACCACTGTTATCACCCCGTCTGCCTCATTTTAATGACAGCACACTGAGTTGCTCTTAATCAGCCAAACCCTTCCAGACTGTCTGCAAACCTACAAATACAGGCCTGCCAGGGAGCCTGTACGGGGAAGACAGCTGTGTGAGTGACAAAAACACGTCACCACCAAGTGCCACACAGCTCTACTGCTGAGACGTGTGACCCTGCTCCCCACTGGACCGGCATCTCTCCCATCAGATAACGACAGACCCGGGGAGCCTCCAGACACACTCAGCTGTGGTACAGAGTAGCAAAGGTCTCTTACCTTGCATGGTGGCTTTGGTTGGTTCTGAGAACAGGGGGATGAGCAGAAGGTAGATGAGGTAGACGAAGGAGAGCCCATTGTACCGGAACGCACAGGCTGCGGGGGGAGAAGAGGTGAGAGGCGTTAGTGACGGACAGCCTTAGGCATCACGGCATCAGGCGGCATCTCTGGAGCAGATCTTCAAGTAGGGAGGAAAAACGGAGCATCCATTCTGTGCCCATCATTACTTGGAGCGTGATGAGAAACGGGAATTAAAACGCACGGTCCCTGCTCTTAGAACCCAACCAAGAGGGCAGCATCGGCGTACCTGATTGAAGGCAGGCCCGAAATACGTCACAAAGTAAGCTGGGCAAACTAAAATTGCTACGGAAACATAGGCAACGGGGCTGTGAGGGTTTGAGGCGTTCGCCTAAGGCTGTGGATGGAAGAAGAGGTGAGACTGAAGGGGAAGAAAAGAAAAGAAAATATTTGCCAAATGCTCTGTGGCCGGGCCTGACCCCAGTTATCTGATTAGTCCCCTTCTGATAAGGAAGGCTCCCCGGCCCAGAGACTCACCCACTCCCTGGGTGCTCCCAGCGAGGAGGTGATGGAGACAAAACTAAACTCAGGCCCCAAGTCTACGCTTCTTGCTCTGCGTATCTCGTCTTAAAGGGAGCACGGCAGGTCGGAGATGTGCTCCTTCCCTCCCCAAGCTCTCCTTCCTCATCTATGAAATGGGTCTAATAACCATCTCTGACTCAGAGGCTTACGACGAGGAGTGAAGGTTTAAACACTTGGCCAGAGTCTTAGACCCGGGAAGCCCTCAAAAACACGAGCAACTGTGGTGAGGATCCTCGTTACCAGACAGGGAGAGGGTGGTGTGCAGCATCCATGTGGAAAGAAAATGAGCGCCTTATAGCAATTAAAAATAAACTTATTGGATGAATAAAGAAAGGCTGAGGGAGGGAGAAGGAGTAAGTATGCATGTGTGGATGAGATCAGTTTAACGGATTCACAGAACGGAGAAGTGCTGGAACAAAAGTTAGTCGGAGGGGCTTCCCTGGTGGCGCAGTGGTTGAGAGTCCACCTGCTGATGCAGGGGACACGGGTTCGTGCCCCGGTCCAGGAAGATCCCACATGCCGCAGAGCGGCTGGGCCCGTGAGCCATGGCCGCTGAGCCTGCGCGTCCGGAGCCTGTGCTCCGCAACGGGAGAGGCAAAAAAAGGAGGGGGCCGGGTAAAAAAAAAAAAAAAAAAAAAAAAAAAAAGTTAGTCGGAGAGAAAGTGGAGAGAACGTGGAGCTGAAAGAACTAGTCCCTGACCATCTGGATCCGGAGAAAACATTTCAGAAAGAGTAATCTAAGACTGCACGTGGGCTGGACTGGTGGGCCGGGAAACTTCAGTGTTGCAGCAACAAGGTGTAAATGGTGCAGAAACAACGGAACTTAAGAAGCAGTACGTGAAATAAAAAGGCATTTGGTACAATAAATATGGAGAGATGTGAAGAGAAATTACACAAAAGTGACTCCAAGGATCGCGACTGCGGTGATAAGGATTCCTGCCGTGGAGGAAAATAAGACATTTAAGGAGAAGATGGTAAGTTTACCTTTAGACACATGCACAGAATCCAACCGTGGGACTCAGCCCTGATGGAAACAGTCAAGGGACAGTGTGGGCAGGATCGCTGCTCAGTGACCCCAGAGGGAAGCGGAGATGGACCCTGAGCAGAGGGGTGAGCGGGCAGGACAAGAGGGGATGGACTCTCTGAAGGCCACAGCAACAAGGGGAGGCAGCTGCCTACATGGGGGGCCAGGGGGGTGAGATGGGGAAGGGAAAATGGGCAGGTACGGAAGAAAAAGTCAGCAGAAAATTGAGGACAGATAGGAGAAAAACCGGGGAAGTCCATTTTCACAAGAAAAGTTTTCATGGAAGAAGTTTACTACAACAGAGAGAGGGGCTGGTCATTTGATCATCTGTGAGGGTGTCCAGGACAGCCTCCAGAAAGGGATGCAGACCCAGCAGGGGGATGGGAGTTGAGAGATGGAAGCACAAGGGGAACATCACCAGCAGCAGGAAACAAGAAGGCTGTGCAGGGGCTCACAAGGCCACAGAGGGCTGAGCTGGGGAGACACAGCACGGGCAAGGGCTGGGTGCTCCTGCCTGCAGAGTCAGAGCGCCTGGGACCTGGGGACAGACCAGAGTGGGATGCACATGGCATTAGGAGATGGGGTCCCAGCTGCTGGTGGCTTCCTTTGGACAATGACAGGCAAGCAGGGTACAGTGAGGGATGCTGTGGGGGGAGGAAGGCATCAACAGAAGTGCTTTTTCATCCCGCGGGGGTCGTGCACGTGACGGTAGCTTTGTTTACCACCATGGCCACTCTCAACCTCCTTTATGAAAGACCCAAAGCAGGAAGAAACTTTCACACTATCACTGGACAGGAAAATGTATAAATGAGGCAGAATAAAAGAGCAAGAACCCATGTTTGGATTGTCTTTCTAGCTATTTTTTTCTGTCTCTTACTTCTCATCCAGAGTTGATGTTCCTTAACAACCCAAAAGACATTTGGTTATTCATCCAGTCACTAGATATTTTTTGAGCACATACTATGTCCTTGGAACTGACCAGCATCCCTTCACTTCCAGGAGGGGAGATGTACGGTGAACAATAAGCACAATAGAAGATAGCAAGCCATGCTGGAAGATGAGCACCCTGTAAACAAGAACTCGGGGGTGGGGAGTGGCAAGGGGGACAGGGCCCTGGGGTGGAGGAGGCAGCCGCTGCATCCCCTAGGAGCACCGCAGGAGGTGAGATCCAAGCCCTGAGGTGAAGTGGTGAGGGGGCGACCAGCCACCCCATAAGCAGCAGGCCACGTGGCAGCAAAGCCCCCAGCCTGTCTGACTAACCCTGGCCCGCAGTGGCCCAGGCAGTCCTGGATGGGGCCGGGTCACATGGGCCTTAGGAGGGATCAGAGGACTCAGTGTCCACTCTGCGACATCGACTAAGTGATGGATCTCACCCTCCATCAAGGTTGCAGCCTGGCTCCTGCCTGGGCCTGCATCTCCCTGTCCCACCGACACACATCCTGCCCTTCCAAGCGGCTGCCCGGCTGAACAGCCCTGCACTGTGCTGCTTCTGGCCTCAAGGGCTCGAAGGCACTGGACCACCTTCCTGCATCCAGCCTGTTCCTGCTCTGCTCCAGTGTTTCCTCCCCCAAACCAGGTGCCTTCCTTCTGCTGGGGGCAGCTCTCGCAGAGCTCTTCTCATCCAGGGTCACGGGCATTTGTCCATGTGTCTGTGACCATCTCTGTTACCTCCAGGGCCCGGGGGACAGGAGGTTCTCAGGCTCACAAAAGGAATAGACAGGGATAAGTGAGTGAAATGGAATGAAAGCCACAAGGGTGCCTGAAAAGGAAACCAGGGTAACAAGGCTACAGCCTTCCCAATAGCATCAAAACACCACCACTGGCACTGCCCCAAATAAACATTTAATCAAGTGGAATGTCGCTTTGATTTTAGCCTTGGGCTTTTTAATGTTAATGCACATCGTGCAGCAAAATTACCTAATTCTGTGTATTTCTGGGTAAAGAGAAAACTAGAGCTTACTTGTATGATGGTATCACTTTAAAGAGTGTGCCCAGAGCGTGTGTCTGCTGTGAGTCCATGTCAGTATCAGCTCACAGGAACGCCGCCCTGTGTCAAGCCCTAACTGTGCATTAACTCACACTCTCACCACCCTCCGGTCACAGACCCTGTTTTTACTCTCTCTCTACACATGACAAAGCAGCAGGAGTAGGAAGCACAGCAAGTGGCCGGGCTGAGATTGGAGCCTGGGAGCTCGTCCTGAGCCTGCGCCTCCGTCCGGAAGCCTGGCGGCCTCACCTGCCTGACCCGTCCACGGGTAACTGTCAGGGGCTCAGGGGGCCAGAACCTTCTTTCCACAGGATGCCTGTCGCTGTTTCAGTTTTATAACTTCGTTCTGTAAGGTTTCATATAATGCACAGTCGAAATGTGTAAACTTAGGAAGTTCCCAATGACTAACTTTGCAGGGGGTAGAAAGGAGACCACCCTTGGGTTCTCAGGGCAGAACCTTTAGTTACCATTATTTATAACAGAGTCCCAAATACTTAAAGAGAAGCAAGGATGACCCAGGGTGGTAGGGAGCCTCTAAATGGTCCCCGTGTGTGATCCCCTGCTCCTGAGTGTGGGCTGGACCCAGGGGCTCCCTGCCAGTGACCAGAGTCAGTGAAAGTAGCAGGATAGCTCTTGGTGGCTTCTACCGTGGGTGCCCCTTGGTCCCTCAGTGGAGCCAGCCGCCGGGCTACAAGTTGTCCCGAGGAGAGGCCCGGAGGGAAGGAGCCACAGTCTCTAGCCAGCAGCCAGCCCGCACCAGCCAACGGCCACACAAGTGAGCCTGCAAGCAAGTCCCCCAGAGACGGCAGCCTGACCAGCCTTGACTGCAGCCCGTGAGAGCCTGAGCCGGAGGCACGGGCTGAACCTCCCCGGATTCCCGACTCCCAGAAACTCTGCAGCAGGGTTTATTGCTTTAAGCTGCTAAGTGTTTGGGTAATTTGTATACAGCAACAGATGACTAATACCCAACCTTTCACACACACACAGACAAAAAATCAAGCCACTTCTAAAAATCCACCTTCGTTTATTTTTGTCTAAAATTATCCAGTTTGTTTGATGACAGTGGCCTAATTGCTGAATTTTCTGCTTTATTTTATGTGTGAAGTTGCTACCCAGGAGCCACCCGAGCTTATGGGGACTCTGAATGCCATATCTAAGTGCATTACTCACCTAGAGCAAAATATGCCTTTGAACTTGTCAATAAGGCACATTCGAGCTAGAAAAGCCTCAGGAGGCAAAGAGCAATGATCCTTTATCCAGGGTAATATTGTCTTGGTCTAGGACCTGGAGTCCCAGAGCACAGCCCTGCTCCTATAAAAAGCTATCAGATGCTGGTACCCATGCCTCTCGTGGGCCGTCCAGGCTCCTGGACCTCTGTCCCCTGCCTCAAGGATTTTATTGTCGACAGTACAATTTTTTTACAGATCAAGGTGTTCTAAGGAAAAAGGTTCTTCACTTTAGCCAAGAATGCACTATCTTTTCCAC